CTTTCAAACAATGAAAACCAAATTTTATGTAGAAATAGAAGGTAACTCCTATTTTTATAGCATTGCACAATGAGTGAGTCAAGCATGCTTCGCAGAGCTCTTTAATCCAACAATGGCTGTAATAAAATGAAATGTACACTTATGTATGCAACATATTAACCTGAAATAAACCTGCAACACGAGAATTATGAGAAAACTTGCTATGTAGATTCAGCACAGCGCTGCTGCAACACATAAGTAATAAGATAGAAATCAGAGGAGCTACATTGTGTTTTCCTGAATACTAAGAATCATTTCGTCTTTAATCTCCCTCGCCGAGAAGAAACTATGTGGTTTGAAAGTAAAAGTGCGATACCAATGAAACAGCATTTTTGTCTCAGACACGTATACAGCTGAGTCATAACTAGAATCTGTTGCTCTCAAGGCAAAATTTCCAAAAATAAAAGATTAGTCGTTATACAGGAATACATTTTATTTTTTTATGAGGTTAGAAAAACACTTTGCAAAAAAAGTTGAACAAAATTCTTAAAGTTTTACTACTTTTCCTGTTCAATTGTACCTAAAGTTTTCAACAGAGTCCTGCATAGGAAGCGTAGCAGTGATGATGGTAAACATGGTCCATTAACCAAGTGAAAGTGTCAAGTGAAATCAAGAATTCACTTTCTATGAAATAACAGACTCAGAACAGCAAAAGAGCTTTTAGAATAAAAAACAAGACACATATTTACCACTCATCCATTCATTCTTTCGGTCATGAATGGTGTTACCAGGCTAGAGAAGATCTCTTTACCACCTCTAGTGGCTTCTGGACTTACGTCAGGGTGTCTTGTTAAAAGATTAAAGTTCCATTAGTTGTCACAATGGTGTGGAAAATTTGTTCTCAGCATGGGCCCATCGCTTGTGGGAGCGGTGAGATGCAGATACGGTCGTGCTTGGAAACTATTTGGTGTTTTAACCCCCTAATCAAACCCCTTAATGTTGAGTCCCACTTTTTAAGTCTTCGGCTGTGGATTTGAACCCACAATCTGCCAGGCCACCCAGGAGGACACTCATATCACTAAGGCCACTGGGCTGGTGGTGGGACATGCCCTGAAAACCTCCAGAGCAATGTAGCCAGGAGACATCCTAATAAAATACCAAAATCACCTCAGGTGTCACCTTTACATGTGGAAGAGAAGCAGTTTTATTATGACTTAACATAATACATGTGACAGCCCCATCTAGTGGACAACTTTTGTTTCTGCGCATGCCTGTAGCTATCGTCCATTTATCGTTATAGAGGTGAAATCCTCAATAAATCGTGATATTGATTTTAGGCCAAATTGCCCAGCCCTACTGTCTACTGGATGCATAAGCAGTACATAAAGTGTTTTACACGCAAACTCCCTTCCCACAGGAAGTGTTAAAGATGCAAAACAGCAGCGAAAGTGCTTCAAGCAGCTGGTCCTGCGAGATCAGGAAATGATTGCAAAGTTTACGCGACAACAAGCAATGAAAAAGACTACAGCACGTATCCATAACAAGGTCTGTGGTTTACCTGTTCCGGAACAGAGGTTTCCCAGGTAACAATGGCTATCCACTATAATGGTGGCTAATTGCTGCATACTCCATTTTGCAAATGTTAACCCAGCGAACAAGCCTTGCCACTTGATGCATAAGCAGTGCGTAACACTGTAAATGTGTTTTACCCATGAGCTCCCTTCCCACCAGGAGGGTTTCAGTCGCAAAACGTCAGCGAAAGCATTCAATGCAGCTGATTCAGCAGGTTCACACAATCACAGGAGAATTGCAGGACCACACCTGATTTCAGCAGTTCACGCAATAACAAACAAGGAGAAAAATATCAACATGTATCCAAAAAGGTCTGTGGTTTATGATCTGCTGCATTTACCTCGGCTACAGATGTACTGCATACCTCGGCTGGTATGCAGTACTGGCACTTTTATACACTGCCTGTACAAAAAAAGGTAACCACCTGGATTTAACTAAGCAAATAGGTATGTGGTATGAGGAAGAGGGTCGTGTGGTCTGATGAGTCCAGACTGACCCTGTTCCAGAGTGATGGTGCATCAGGGTAAGAAGAAAGGCAGATGAAGTGATGCACCCATCAAGCCTGGTGTCTACTGTACAAGCCTGTAGGGGCAGTATTATGATCTGGGCTTGCTGCAGTTGGTCAGGTCTAGGTTCAGTAACAGGATGTGCTTCAAGAATGAGGTCAGCTGACTACCTGAATATACTGAATGACCAGGTTATTCCATCTTCTCTGATGGCACGGGGATATTCCAAGATGACAATGCCAGGATTCATGGGGTTAAAATAGTGGTTCAGGGAGCATGAGGCTTTGTGCCTTCTACTGCATGTACAAAAATAATGCAACACTGGATGGAAATAAATCTTGTGACATTGCAGAAGCTTACTGAAACAATGCCACATTGAATGTGTGCCATAATCAAAGCTAAAAGCGGTCCAATGAAATATTACAGTGCGTGAATCTTTTCGTTTGGTGGCAACATTTTTTTTTGATCAGGCAGTGTATTTCACCTATAACTGTACTGGAACACCGCTAGTTTTTTTTCAGCCATTTATTGGTTAAAAGCTCTAAATTAGTGGGGGAAAAAGCTGCCCGTTTTCAGGTAAACAGCCATCTGCATAAGCCCCCCCCCCCCCCCCCCCCCTTTCAGTTAACGAAGGTTAGAGGGGCTCTAACCCCATCGGACATTACTTTCAACCTCAAGCACTGGTCAGGATAGAGGGGAAGATGAATGCATGAATGTAGAGACGTCCTAGGGGGAAAACCTGTTCCACAGTGCGCTTGATCTCAAGACAGAGTTCAACTTTCAACAGGACCATAACCCTAAGCTCACAGCCAAGACATGAAAGGAGTGGCTTCAGGAAAACTCTGAATGTTGTTGAGTTGGTCAGCCAGAGCCCAGACTTGAATCTTATTGTATTGAGAGATTTTAAAATGGCTGCAATGACGCTTCTCCGCCAACCTGATGGAGCTAGACAGGTACTGCCAAGATGAATGAATGAGCCAAACTACCCAAAGAGACATGTGCCAAGCTTTTGCCATCATATTCAAAAAGACTCAAAGTTGTAATTGTTAAGGGGAGATAATTTTATTCATTTGGGAACAAGGCTGACATAAAAATGTTGAAAAAGTGATGCTTTGAAACTACTTTTTGGATCCATTGTAGGTTTCTGTTTCTTACTTATTACATTGTATTTGTTAATATACAGTTTTGATTATTTTTCATGTTCACCTGTCCTGTAATCTGTGTTAGAGGTTTTAATCAGATTTGCAATGAGATGTGAATTTCCACAGGCAGGATGGGTTTCTTTGACTGCTGAAGTTTCCACACCTATTTTTATCCTAGATCAAAACCAACCCCTAAATGTAAGCATTGGGAAAACCAACTGGGATTCGAAGGGTAGTATTTGCATTATGCGTGGAACTAGCTGTTCATATATTCAGCTTAAGATATAGGACCATAGCTTTTAAAGACCAAACCAAACACCCCAAAAATATTTTAGCATTCTAGAACTAGGTTCAGTTTAACATCATTCAGAGCAAAATTAGTTACCATCCAACATTTAAAAATTTGCACTTTATCGTGAATGGGAAAGGGTAATGACAGGTACCTAGCTATACAAATAAACAAATGAAAATATTTTTTGCAAACATTAAAATCCAACCATCTGACCAGAATAAAAACAACCATGCAAGCTCCTGTCAGGGGCAACAATATTTATTGTTCCATCATTCATACTTCATTACTGTTTTGGAAAATTACAATAAATATGGAAAAGCAGAGATCAATGACCATTAACTTAAATAAAATTTAAAAAAATAGAGGGTGTACTCTGTAAATAAAAACACGCACATTTTTAAAGTAAGGAACCAAACAATAAAAGAAACAATAGCATTTACCATTCAAAATCTTAAATCATTATGCCCGCTTATTTGCTTTACCACGCTAAACTGGTCTGGAAGGTCTCAGGTTTTAGAGTTAATTGGAGGAGGAGCTCTGTGCGTTGAAGTTTAGCCATTTACTACAACGATCAAGTTGCTGAAGCAGGTTTGTGATTGGCTTGCTGACTTCTGATTTTGGCACTTTCTCCAGCTCCTTTGTACAGTTAACCTGAAAAAGCAGAAATCATTATCAAGATCACGAGGTCAAATACATGCCACAATTCTCACATGATAACATTTGTAAAGTATTCTTACATTCAGACTTTGAATATATGTGCCGAGGTTCCGCACGAGAGTTTCTTCCTTGCCATGACTTTGCAGGATGCTTTCCACTTTGCACAAGAAGTCATTCTGAACCGAGAATACATCAAATTAAAACCAAAAAATCTGCAACACTTGCACTTAAAAGAAGATACAGGACACTCTTCTCACCTTGCATCCGTTATCAGCCAGGGCCGTCACATCTTCCACAAAGAACTCCTGTTGTTCAAAACAAGGTGAATTAAGTCTTTCTCTTCTAGAAATGGTTTTGAAAGTTATTTGGTGCACAAACAGCAGAACTGCTGAGTTCAGCTTTTACCTGTGTGATATTTTTCCGGATTTCAGCAACCAAGTTAATAATGTGGTTGAGGTTGAGATTTTGCTTCCTTGGAGCTGGGCTGACCAACTGAGCCGCAGCAGATACCAGCAGAACCATCATCATCATCATCTCCATTCTCGATGCTCGTAAGGTGACAAAGTGTGAAAAACGTGGTTTCACGGTGCTCCCGTAGTAGTTCTCGACTGTTCAGCTGGAAGCTTGCACTGAAGTCTTGACTAAGAACTTGAGATTTTTATACACAATTTTGTCCACGCCTCTATAACGTCACCCGTTTGCAAAAAGCCAACGCACTCTGCGCTTACAGACAGATAAAAGTTGTGGTTGATGTGCAACCTCACCCCCCAAAAAAGTCTCTTTTCTCTGAAGAGAAAGGTTGACGAGACAGGTTGAAAAAAAATTGTTTTGTGGTAAGCAATCACACCAGCCTCAGAGCTTCAGGAAAGATTTAATAACAGAACAAAATTTAAACAGCAATGACCAACATTTTAAAGCCAGATGCGCCCATCGTAAAGAACTTGAGGCACTGCAGGTTTGGTAAACATCTTAAAATATAACATAAAGACACTTTTGTATGTAAGAACATTTATCTAGATATATATTTTATGCAGGTTTAAGAGAAGAGAATGAGAGAATTGCATTCATCTGCCTTGGGTGTTCCTTTCTAAGTAATATCAGAATGATCTCCTTTACAGTTACTCATTTGTGTAAATACGAACTCTTCCCATAACTGAAATATAAAGAAAGCTTTTCTGAGCGTATCTGAATTAAAGATTAATTTGATTGCTTAGTGGAGATAGGAAGAGAGGGAGGAGATGCTGCACTTGGTGATTTCAGAGTTCTGATCCTGGTTCTTACGGATACGGTAGAAGTGTTCGATGTAGCTAGAGCGACCCAGAAGCTCCACAAAGTCCTCGTCGTGGGTGATGATGAGCAGCTGGAAGTTACGCTGACGAGAGCGACTTTTAATGATCCTGTAAAGCAGAAGAATTATTTTCAAGTGCAGTTCATTAATATGCTGAGTTAAGAGTCAGCTGATTGAAAATCACTTATAATAATACTATATTTAATTTAATGGCACCTCTCAAGTCAACCAAGGTGGCCTAATAGATAGTAGAAACAGGAGAAACAAGATCATTCATGATAGTAAAATCCACCTGTAAACCTATAAGCTGGTGAATACTTTCTGGAGAGAGTGGGTATGAAAGTTTGAACAGGTGGGTTGTGAGTCTGGATTTGAATGTGGTGATGGAGTCTGGGGAGGGAGTTCCATAGTCTTGGTGCTGAGCAGCTGAAGGCACGGGCATCCATGGTACTGAGATGCGTTGAAGGGATGGTCAGTAGTTCAGCAGAGGTTGAACCAAAAGTGTGTGTGTGTGTGTGTGTGTGTGTGTGTGTGGTGGTGGTGGTGGGGATAGTATCATAAAAGGTCCTGGAGATGAGTGGGAGCTTGGTGGTGGAGAGCTTTGTAAGTGAGAAGGAGGTTTTTGTAATGGATGCAGTTGCAGTAATCAAGGCAGGAAATGACGAATGAGCACGGACTTCAGGATACCCATCAATGACAATGGGAGGAGCTAGAGCGAGATGGAGATGGGTGATGCAAGATTTAGAACCAATGAGCAGGACCTATGTTTTATTGCCATTTAATTTCAGGAAGTTCCAGTTAATCCAGCTCCGGGTGTCTTGCAGACAGGTGGTGAGAGAAGAAGGATGAATTGCGTTGGTGGGTTTATTTATGGTGACAATACTTAACAGGTGTCACATACAGTAAGAATAAAAAGAAAGCATTCCTTAGTTTTCTCAAAAAGATTTGACTCACCAGGTACTAAAATTAGGTCAGATGATATAAATCATGGGTAAACTTATTTTTCACCATGACGGTAGAATATACTATAGGTAGAAGTTATGGGATTCATTTGTAGATACTAACTCTACTAGAGCATGAGCCAGTGACTCGATGTTCTCCCGGTCCAGGTTGGTGGTGGGCTCATCCAGAGCCAGGATCCCACAGTTCAGACAGAAAGTCTCTGCCAGAGCGAGGCGGATGATCAGGGACGCCAACACCTGCACAATGATCACGGCAGAGGAGAAAACAACATATCAACGTTGACCTAATCTCAGTTGTTGGTGTTGTAGAAATTTCATTTCTACATGAAATCACAAACAAAAATGTGCTAATCTTTTAGCAACATGAATGCTAATAGAGATCATAGCTCTCTGGCACCTTCTGACCAGCGCTGCAGCGTCCTCTCATATCCAGAGCGGTGTCGCCCTTCACCATAACCACTCTATAGTTGTAAACCCGCCGCTTCACCCCAGCAGACGAGTTCTCATCCACATCTGACCTGATCTCCACATACTCAATGTCTGGAAGGATGCCAAAAGACAACAGGAAGTAACAACCAGGGTAGAAAAAGGCAGAATATGAGTTAAATTTTCAAGACTTACAAAAAATGTTTTGGAAACACTTTACAATAAGGGTCCCTTTACTTAGTGCATTAATAAACTATTAAACTACCGACTGCTTAAACATATAAAGAAATGCATTACTGAGCAAAAACCCTGTTATTATTTGTAACAATCTTAAGTAGTAGTAGTAATAGTTTACAATAACAGTATCGTCAATACAGGGAACCTTTGTTTATTGACGCTTAATAATGCACTAAGTAACATTAATAGAGACCCTTTGTTTATCAACGCTTAATAATGAACTAATAATGCACTAAGTAATGTTCATAAAGGGACCCTTTGTTTATCAATGCTTAATAATGAACTAAGTAACGTTAATAAAGAGACCCTTTGTTTATCAACGCTTAATAATGAACTAATAATGAACTAAGTAACGTTAATAAAGAGACCCTTTGTTTATCAACGCTTAATAATGAACTAATAATGCACTAAGTAACGTTAATAAAGGGACCCGTTTTTTTTTATCAATGCTTAATAATGAACTAAGTAACATTACTAAAGAGACCCTTTGTTTATCAACACTTAATAATGAACCAATAATGCACTAAGTAATGTTCATAAAGAGATCCTTTGTTTATCGACGCTTAATAATGCACCAAGTAACATTAATAAAGAGACCCTTTGTTTATCAATGCTTAATAACTAAATAATGCACTTAGTACCGTTAAAAATGGACCCTTTGTTTATCAATGCCAAATAATGCACTAAGTAACGGTATTAAAGGGACCCTTTGTTTATCAATGCTTAATAATGAACTAATAATGAACTAACTAATGTTAATTAAGGGACCCTTTGCTTATTGTCGCTTAATAATGCACTAAGTAACATTAATAAATAGACTCTTGGTTTATCAATGCTTAATAATGAACTAATAATGCACTAAGTAACATTAATAAAGAGACCCTTTGTTTATCAATGCTTAATAATGAACTAATAATGCACTAAGTAATGGTAATAAACAGACCCTTTGATAATCAATGCTTAATGATGAACTAATAATGCAATAAGTAACGTTAATAAAGGGACCCTTTTGTTTATCAATGCTCAATAATGAACTAAGTAATGTTATTAAAGGGAACGTTTGTTTATCGACGCTTAATAATGCACTAAGTAACAGTAATAAACCCTTAGTTTATCAATGCTTAATAATGAACTAATAATGCACTTAGTAACGTTAATAAAGGGACCCTTTGTTTATCAATGCCAAATAATGCACAAAGTAACGGTAATACAGGGGCCCTTTGTTTATCAATGACAAATAATGCACTAACGGTAATAAAGGGACCCTTTGTTTATCTATGCCAAATAATGCACTAAGTAACGGTAATAAAGGGACCCTTTGTCTATCAATGCCAAATAATGCACTAAGTAAAGGTAATAAAGGGACCCTTTGTTTATGAATGCCGAATAATGCACTAAGTAACGGTAATAAAAGGACCCTCTGTTTATCAATGCCAAATAATGCACTACGTAACGGTAATAAAGGGACCCTTTGTTTATCAATGCCAAATAATGCACCAAGTAAAGGTAATAAAGAGATCCTTTGTTTATCAATGCTTAATAATAAACTAATAAGGCACTAAGTAATGTTAATAAAGGGACCCTTTGTTTATCAATGCTTAATAATAAACTAATTATGCACTTAGTAACTTAATAAAGGGACCCTTTGTTTATCCATGCCAAATAATGCACTAACGGTAATAAAGAGACCCTTTGTTTATCAATGCTTAATAATGAACTAATAATACACTAAGTAACGTTAATAAAGGGGCCCTTTATCAATGCTTAATAATGAACTAAGTAACGTTAATAAAGGGACCCTTTGTTTATCAATGCCAAATAATGCACTAATTAGTGGTAATAAAGGGACCCTTTGTTGATCAATGCTTAATAATGAACTAATAATGCACTAAGTAACGTTAATAAGGGACCCTTTGTTTATCGATGCTTAATAATGCACTAAGTAACGTTAATAAGGGACCTTTGTTTATCGACGCTTAGTAATGAACTAATAATGCATTAAGTATTGTTAATAAGGGGACCTTTTGTTTATCAATGCTTAATAATGAACTAATAATGTATTAAATAACGTTAATAAGTGACACTTTTGTTTATCAACACTTTATAATGAACTAATAATGCCCCAAGTAACGTTAATAAAGGGACTCTTTGTTTATCAATGCTTAATAATGAACTAAGTAACGTTAATAAAGGGACCCTTATTGTAAAGTGTTACAATTTTTTTACTGAATACACCTTGGCCCCTGTAAGTGCTGCGCCACAAGTCTCTAATAATTTTATTTATTTCATCCATCTTCATGCAGTGGAACTTCATGATGGTTCTGTAAATAAAAATAAAACAAAACAAAGAAAAAAATCAATTGCACATTTCATGGTATAATAATATGGTTACAAAATAAAATCATCAACATCTATTTCATACTGATACAAAGAGCTGATAGGTTCTGGCTTATGAGAACAGCCAGCTGGAATTGGCTTTTCCTGCATACCAAGAAATATTTTGACTATAATCTAGCAAACAGATGAAAAACTCCAATGTGGTTTAAATGCATGAACCTGATAATGCATGTAGAGCACTTCATCCTGTGACCATAAATGGAGAATGATGCACCACATAGAAAGATGGAAGAGCAGCAAGCAAAGCAGCCCTTATCAGCCTATCTGACCTAGTGTCTTCTGTACGTAACTGCTTACTAAACAGATGCAGAAGACAGTGTTCACATTTTCATGAAGCAGAAAACGGTCAACTGATTGAAACAGATTTCATTTGAATATAATTTTATGTGAATGTTTAAATTTAGCAGCCTGAACCACTCCAATCAAGTTTCAATCTTGTTATTAATTAAATTCTATTGATCTGTTTGGGAAATTGACAAACAGCATAGATTAGGCTTCCGGGATAGATAGTATTGGTGTTAGCTGAAAAAAGTGTTAGATTATGAAATGAATGAGGTTTTTTTTTTAAATAAAGTTGTAAAGATGACAAATTATTCTGTGAAACCGGTGACAATATACAGTGGGGCAAAAAAGTATTTAGTCAGCCACTGATTTTGCAAGTTCTCCCACTTAAAATGATGACAGAGGTCAGTAATTGACATCATAGGTACACTTCAACTGTGAGAGACAGAATGTGAAAAAAAAATCCATGAATTCACATGGCAGGATTTTTGAAGAATTTATTTGTAAATCAGGGTGGAAAATAAGTATTTGGTCACTTCAAACAAGGAAAATCTCTGGCTCTCACAGACCTGTAACGTCTTCTTTGAGAAGCTTTTCTGTCCTCCACTCGTTACCTGTATTAATGGCACCTGTTTGAACACATTATCTGTATAAAAGACACCTGTCCACAGCCTCAAACAGTCAGACTCCAAACTCCACTATGGTCAAGACCAAAGAGCTTTCGAAGGACACCAGGAAAAGAAATGTAGACCTGCACCAGACTGGGAAGAGTGAATCTACAATAGGCAAGCAGCTTGGTGTGAAAAAATCAACTGTGGGAGCAATTATCAGAAAATGGAAGACATAAGGGACCACTGATAATCTCCCTCGATCTGGGGCTCCACGCAAGATCTCATCCCGTGGGGTCAAAATGATCATGAGAACGGTGAGCAAGAATCCCAGAACCACACGGGGGGACCTGGTGAATGACCTGCAGAGAGCTGGGACCACAGTAACAAAGGTCACCATCAGTAACACACTACAACGGCAGGGAATCAAATCCTGCAGTGCCAGACGTGTTCCGCTGCTGAAGCCAGTGCATGTCCAGGCCCGTCTGAAGTTTGCCAGAGAGCACATGGATGATACAGCAGAGGATTGGGAGAATGTCATGTGGTCAGATGAAACCAAAGTAGAACTTTTTGGTATAAACTCAACTCGTCGTGTTTGGAGGAAGAAGAATACTGAGTTGCATCCCAAGAACACCATACCTACTGTGAAGCATGGGGGTGGGAACATCATGCTTTGGGGCTGTTTTTCTGCTAAGGGGACAGGACGACTGATCCTTGTTAAGGACAGAATGAATGGGGCCATGTATCGTGAGATTCTGAGCCAAAACCTCCTTCCATCAGTGAGAGCTTTGAAGATGAAACGTGGCTGGGTCTTCCAACACGACAATGATCCCAAACACACCGCCCGGGCAACAAAGGAGTGGCTCCGTAAGAAGCATTTGAAAGTCCTGGAGTGGCCTAGCCAGTCTCCAGACCTCAACTCCATAGAAAATCTATGGAGGGAGTTGAAAGTCCGTGTTGCTCGGCGACAGCCCCAAAACATCACTGCTCTCGAGAAGATCTGCATGGAGGAATGGGCCAAAATACCAGCTACTGTGTGTGCAAACCTGGTAAAGACCTATAGTAATCGTTTGACCTCTGTTATTGCCAACAAAGGTTATGTTACAAAGTATTGAGTTGAATTTTTGTTATTGACCAAATCCTTATTTTCCACCATGATTTACAAATAAATTCTTTAAAAATCCTGCCATGTGAATTCATGGATTTTTTTTCACATTCTGTCTCTCACAGTTGAAGTGAACCTATGATGTAAATTACTGACCTCTGTCATCATTTTAAGTGGGAGAACTTGCACAATCGGTGGCTGACTAAGTACTTTTTTGCCCCACTGTACTTAACTTTCTCTATGTTTTAAACTTGAACAGCTCAGTAAATCACAGTCATAGCTAAAGCCAGAGCCATGTATGATTTCTACTCAAGTCAATAAAAAGTTTAAACTCCAGCAGTATAATAAAAGTATAACTCCAACACTTTAAAGTCTATATACTATATACTCCCTAAATGACTTAAAACACTTATTTTCCTGATCATATCAAAGCAGCGCAGAAACTCAGGTTGCTTTTGCAACACACACAGGTGGCTGGCATGTGATTCATAAAAGCACCCACTGACTAACCTATGTGTGACCCATTAACCTGCGTTTTGAGCTTCCACTTCTCAAAATAGACAAGAAAGGTCCTCAGTTTTAAAACGAATGAACAAAATCCAACAAACTTCAGCTACCTTTATTTTCAGCTTCAATTAGATATTTGTTGAATAAAAATAAAAATAACAAAACAAGGTATTTGGTAGGCTGAACAATTTTAGAAAAATATTTGTGATACTTTTTTTGTGGAAATTGCAATTTAAATTATATTCATGATTTTCTTCAAATCAAGGTTCCAGCCATTATTCACAGTATGTGCAGGATTATTTGGGAGCATGACAGGAAATGACATCATACCATAAAAAACAATAAAATAATGCAATGAGGAAAACTGAAGGTGAGATATACTTTGACATATATTTATTAACAAAAAATATGCATGCAGAGTTTTCCCTGGATTACTTTACTAAGGCCTGGACGCTTTTCTGGACAAAAACACCCTAGAACACCAAACTCTGACACATTTTGCATGCTTGTTAGATTTACCATAACGCAGCCAACGGTTTGTCATCAGAAAAATTAAAACATTTTTATAAGAGATGTTGCACATTAAAGTTCACTTAAGTGTTATTATAGTAAATCCATTTGGAGAATCACACTTGCCCAAAAAAACTGTCTTCAGCAGTCTGGGAGGCAGCAGTGCAGGGGTTCTGCTGTCCTCCCGGTTTTGTTTGTTTTCAACCCCTTTCGTTTAGATTCGTGTGGATGAGTTTTAAACTTTGGTTTAGTTTTTAACTCTTAAGTGAGAAGTTTTGGATGATCCAGTGGGATCTTTTTGCTGTTTGGTTTTAAGGTTAACTTTGATTGTGGCAATTTTACTGACCTCGGTTTTAAACACCTTTCGTTGTGGTAAAGCTTTTAATACAAGTTTTAACCAGGTGTTTTATAGTTGATAATTTGCTGTGTAATGTTATCCTTTTTCAGAGTTTTAGAGAGTTCTGTTTGTTTTGCATTATTTTTATAATGCACTGTCGTCATCTGTTTACACGTTTTTAGAAAATAAAACCCTTTTAATATCCATTGTCCAGTCTTACGTTACCCCCATCCTTCACATTTTAATAACACCTGTCGGGGACGTAACATTTTACTTTTCACCCGATTATTCAACCACAAATGTTTTAGTTTGCTAAATGACTCATTTTGATCACATCAAAGCATCTTACTGTGAAAATTTTCTGTACATTCAAACTGAAACTATGACTGTACGGTCTACGAAAGAGCTGCTGATGACTGAGCTGCATCTTGATAACACAGCAGAGGATGATGCTCTAACCTGCCCACATGTATGGGTAAATGATACTTCTGCACAGCCAGGAGATGCTATCTAAAACAGTAACAGTGCACTTTCTTAAAGGAGCTTCATATCCTAGATGTGAATAGTTTTTGAGGAAGATTTGTGCGGAGCCACAAATACTAGTTTTCTCTGTAATGTAAAGAGCGTTTTCCTGCGGCAAATGCTGGAAATAGGGGCCGAAGACAATTTTCACACTTTGCATGCATGTGAAACCGCTCAAGTGACCCCTCTTATTTCTAAAAGAAAAAGCATGATACGTTTCTCAGTGAATGACACCTTTAATAACCAGAATATAATATTCTGTAGGGATGAAAGGCCAGGACTCTCGTGAAAAAGAGATTATGAATCCCAGTGGGATAAGTCCTGGTCAAATAAAGGTCAAAAAAAAAAAAAAAGATTAGGATGAAACTTACTGATCAAGAGCTTTGTAGTACAGGTCCAAGTCTTTAATGACCAACTCCGTGGTCCTCATTATGATCATCTTGTCTTTGTAGTGCTCATCAGCTTTGCTGTACTGCTCCTCACGCAACTCTTTTCTATTACGAATCAAATCATTTAGCAAATTTTAATTGAAGGAAAAACAGATAAAAGCTGGAATTATGATGAATGTGTGACTCTGTGCTTTGTTGACATTAAAGTCTGCATCACCTGTACTGAATGATCTCCTCCTCAAAGCCTTTCTGGCGACCCAGTGCAATGCTGCGGTTCTTTTTCAAATCCTCTAACTTGTGTTCGGCATCACGGCGTTCTCTGGACAAAGTTAAACATCTAATATTACTGAGAGCATAACATCAAGGAGTCAAGAAAAACAAATAACTACGTCTCTTTGTTTTCATGTAGCTTAGTTGAACTGTATCATATTTGTTGGGCTTACAAAATAATGCTGAAGAATAAAGCCTCTTACTGGCGCAGCTGCAAAACTTGCATGTTTCCCATTTCTTTCATCCGGGATTCGCGTTTGGCAACAACCTCCTTCAACTCCTCAACACGCTTCCTCAGAGTCAGATTGTCCTGCAGCCAACGCTCTTGGATCTAAAAGATATTTTAAAATGACATGTGTCAAAATATACAAATGTGAATGTGCAGGCATTTTGGAACAAGTCTGTTTAAAGATAAAAATCTGTATTTGAACCAGTTTAAGGACGGATGTTGCATCACTACAAAGCAGATTTACGGACTAGGGTTGTCACAGTGTAAAAATTTTACCTCACGGTCATTGTGACCAAAATTATCATGGTTTTCGGTTTTATCGCGGTATTTTTTTTAAAACGTGTTACATTTTCAGACAACTAAATAATCTCTATATCAGGAAAATATTGTCCTCGGTTTGTGTCCTTCCAGTGAGCTTTGCAGATGTGGGAAAATGTCATCAGGCAGTAATCATTGTTAAATTCATAATTATTATCTGCCCCTGGGAGCCCCGTAATGCATAGCGTCATTTCAACATGGGGGTGTCCTCGACACGGTTTATATGCAGGTAGCGGCGCTGCGGCTGCTTTATATAGCGACTCGTTGCATTCTCCCTCAACCCAAATCCTCGGATCACGCATTTTAGCTAAAACGCTAACGTCAGCTTGCCTTGCGTTGACTGTAGAGTTGTGGGTGATGGTCACGCAGATGTGTCATGAGATTTGAAGCGTTGCTGCCTTTCACAGACACTTTTTCTGCACATGCTGCAAACAGGATAGCCGTCTTCTATCAGCTGTCCCTCGGCATTCTTCAGATATCCAAAAGATGCCCGTACTTCCCACTTTGTCTTCTTTGAGGGATAATAAATGTCCTGAGCGCTGCCGTCTCCTCCTTTGGCCATTATTTCAGCTTTAGCTTCAAGAAAGTTTTGGTTGTAAACAACAAAGTGCGCATGTGCCGCCGGCAACTTCAGCAGATGATACGGTTGCTGGTAAGGGTCACCGCACCTATACTGCAGCCACGGTAACCCACCGAGATAATATATTTTTTTAAAACAAGACGGTTATTATTATTGTCAACTTTTTTACCGAGGTTTACCGCTATACCAGTTACTATGACAACCAGTAACTGTTGTCAGTTGTCAAGAGCGGGGAAACCATCTCCCGCTCTTGTTTCTTTCAACTGAGAAACATTTCAAAAGTCCGTAAACTGGTTTCTACTGCAGATCTGGAAAAAATAATCCATGCCTTTGTGTCATCACGCTTAGACTACTGTAACGCTCTTTTTACTGGTCTCAGCAAAACCTCCCTCTCACGCCTTCATGCCATCCAAAATGCAGCAGCCAGACTCCTAACCAAATCCAGCAGACGAGCTCACATCACCCCAGTTTTACAGTCCCTCCACTGGCTCCTGGTAGAATTTAGAATACAGTTTAAAGTTTTAGTCCTGATCTATAGAGCTCTTAACAACCAGGCTCCAAGCTACCTATCTGAGCTTTTATCCCCACACACCACCTCTCGGAACCTTAGATCCACATCTGAAAACCTCCTGGCTGTTCCTCAAACCAGACTGAAAACCAAAGGGGACAGGGCCTTTCAGACTTTGGAACAGTCTACCTTCAAATCTCCGTCTCTCTAACACTGTAGAGGTCTTTAAAAATCATCTAAAACTCACCTTTTCATCCAGGCATTCCCTCCCTAAATGTTTCAAAAAGATGGCTTTGTTTGGGTTCACACCTTCACTTTGTTTATACTCATTTTATTTTCTACGTTTATCACTGCTATTGTTTTTTCTGATGTTTTTATTGGTTAGAGGTATTTGCCCTGATCTTTATCATGTTGTACAGCGCTTTGTGATTTATATCTGAGAAAGGCGCTATATAAATCAACTTTTACTTACTTACTTACTTACTAACCCTATTAGGGACTGATAAGTGTGGGTCTCATGAGTAGTGTGCACCCTCTACACTTGCAGCTAATGCCTGTTGACATAAAACCTGTGGTGTACAGCCCTGGAACCCAGGAGACATCATCCTTCATGTTTTGGATGTTTCCCTGCTCCAACACGCCTGATTGAAACAAATCTCCAACTTGTCCTCAAGTTCTGCAGGAGTGTGTTCACCAACTATTCTCTAGAATCAGGTGTGTTGGAGTAGGGAAACAACTATAGCGTGCAGCAAAGTGGCTCTAGAAGACTGAATTTGGTGACCAATGACCTAAAAAAGTATTTATGTGCCAAAAATTTATAATGAAAATAACACAATATCTGCTCCTGAAGTAATACAGACTCAAAAGTGAGTCCGTGAATATATTATTTAATCTGCTAAGTGTAGTATAGTTTATTGTGTTTACATCTAAACTGAGTGTGAGAAAGTAACTGTACTTAGGACGGGCTAAAGTGATTCTCCTGAGAAGCATGAATACAACTTAAACTGTTTTAGTGAACAAATTAGTTAAAAGTTAGAAGTCTATGATGCAGAAAGTGCAAAAAGTTGTCTATTTATTTCAAAGTTTGCACCTTCTGAGTGTCGACGTCCTGGCGGATGTTCCCCATGTCCTTGTTAATCTTCTCTTTCTGCTTCTCAGCTTCGTGGAACTGAGTGTTGGTCTCCTGAAGTTCAGCTTCTTTTTGCTGCACACACACAAACAGTTAGGTGGTAAATCCACAAAGAAACAACGTGATCAGGTTTGAGCTTGTCCAATTAGAACATTTAAAAAATGGGTTTAAGTGTTAAAATAGCCTTTTGGATTTATTATAAGTAAAATAACAGGGTTTCTGCAGAAATCAGCAAAACAAATTTAATGCTTTTTAATGCCATTTTAATGCCATTTTTAACCTTTTTAATGTCATAAACAAACACACGTGAGAATCCACGGATATATATGTACATAAAAATATCCTCTGAGAACTCAATGTATTATAATGTATTATAATGTACCCTGAGATAAACAACAAAAAAATGTATGCCTGGAACATAGCAAATACATAGTTGCATGGAATGTTACATGTTATTGAACATGCTACAGCATTTTTTTCACACACAACAGGATTAATGCATGTGCCTTAGCTCACTAGTTTTTGATTCCAGCTCTGACTCAACATCTGTCAGTTCACTGCATTTGTCCCTGCATCTCTTCCTTAGAGTATTAGATTTTGTTATCATTTGAGCCATGAGCGTGCTCGGTTTGTTTTCTGCCTGTTCAGTCTAGTTGTTTATTTTTTGTGGACTGGATGAAGCTTTCATCAAACATCAGCACAAATGGTCCAGCGTTGGTAGCTGCAGAAATCAGTTCTTTTTTTATATGTGGGGCGAGTCCAAACTTTAAAACGTAGCTTGTCTTGTCCTTTCTACAGGTGAAAGACTTAGCCATGTCAGAATCCGAAAACATTGCCTGGAACAACTCGGAAACACCTTCATTGGATGCATAGGAGTGGTGCTGTACTGCAGTGTTCAGACACCAGAGCACCTCTGCCTGAAGCACCGCAGGCGATCCAAACAATTTTTGAAGCGTGCTTGATGTTCCGACAGCAGGGTTCACAGCTGCAGTTGTGCTGCTTGTTGTGGTCGTGGTAGTTGTAGAAGACGTTGCGTTGCTAGTTACAGAAAAGTAACTAGTCACGGTTAGCTGCTGTCTGCCTTTTACGGCTGCTTTGTGGTTGTCCGACTGCATGTGCGATTTCACAGCGTTCACACCCATTGTACCAAGTTTAATACAACCAGCTCAGTGGCCTAGTGGTAGAGTGTTCGTCCTGAGACTGGGAGATTAGGGTTCGATTCCTGGTCGGGTCATACCAAAGACTTTGAAAAAATGGGACCCAATGCCTCCCTGCTTGACACTCAGCATTAAGGGGTTGGATTGGGGGGTTAAACCACCAAATGGTTCCCAAGCGCGGCTGTGTCTGCAGCTCCCCGCTCCCCCAGGGGATGGGTCAAATGTGGAGAACAAATTTTGCACACACATCAGTGTGTGTGACAACTAATGGGACTTTAACTTTAATTTTTTTTTTTTTTTACAAACAGTACAAAATCCTTCTCCATCTTGACCATTAACGGGCTGCAGCTATACCTTGAATTTATCGTTTTCCAACCACTTTTGCTGGAATTTGCATTTCCCCATTTTCCAAACGTTTACTCCTCACGATCCAGCTTCTTGTCGAACATCCGGTTTTACGACAATTCAACAAGAAACCGGTCGGAACAGAAGCAATAATCGAAATGGTTCTGCCAGCGTGTTGACTCAAACATACGTTTCATACAATTTCACAACAAATCACAATAAAGACAAAAAAATTAAAATTATTTAAGAATATTTCTTGAAAAAATTTAATGCCACTGACAATCTAATTTAATGCTTTTTAATGCCATTTAAGGCCTTAATTTTAGAAAATTTCATTTAATGACTTTTAATGCTTTTTAATGCCCCGCAGAAACCCTGAATAACAAATTTTAAATCTGGACATAAATTATGAATTTAGGTCAACACCATACCTCTTTATATTCATGCTTCCCTTCTTCTGTGTATTTAGTGATGTCACGTTCGAATGCAGTGATTGTTTTGACTTTCTCTTTGATGGCATTGATCTGTCAGAAAGAGATCAAAGAGCAACCGGGTAACATTCAGAAATTACACAGTTTTTGTTTAAATAAAAATACTTGGACCCCATGGAATTATGAGCTAGGAAGAAAAGACTGATGCTAGTGAAATAAGGAGTTTGGAGCTGAAGGATCCATCTACCTTCTCCTGTCCTTCTTCTTGTTTCTGTCTCCTGCGCTCCATCAGCTCCTGCTTCTCCTGCTGCAGTTTCTCCAGAGTTGCAGACAGAGGTGAAAGTTGTTCTTTTGCCTCCTAATTGGCCACAAAATGTAACAAAAATAGACTGAATTCATTTTTTATAACATAAAAGCAAAATAAAGATAATCTGCAAACAAGCTAGCTTTTAGACACAAACATGGTCACGGAACGCTCACCTCTCCCATTGGCCATTATCCCTAGTCCGTCTGATACCCAAACCTTCATTGTCGGGGTAACGAGAGAGAGCGCTAAACATCATTTTTATTTTTTTAGGTCCAAACTGTTTGTCTTGTTGAGACTCTGGTAGTTTGTCCTGAAGTTGAAGTGGTACCAGCCGGCTGTTTCTACTTCTCTGGTATTATTTGCGAACTCACTGTAAATGTATATATTCAAGGAGTTTCTCCTGTCAGGTTCTATCACGAGATTTGTTACATGTTCTATTGCAGGGGTCGGCAACCTTTTCCCATCAAAGAGCCATAATTACCCGTTTCCCACAGTAAAGAAAACACTGGGAGCCGCAGCAGCGTGGGCGGGGCCTACCCTCAGACAGCAGAGAGCTGCTTTAACAGATCACAACAGGTGACAGCAACCAATACCAGTCGCTCATTTACCTCAAAGTTATCTTTCGACAGAAGATAATTATTAATAAAACAGTTTTGTATGAAATTGATCTAAAAAATGTAGCCCGTCTGTGCTACAATATTTCAATATTTTTCACCCTGCTAGTGGTTTAAATAGCTGAGCAGGTGACGCTTTTTGAGGCGTCACACATAACTGCTCTGTCTCGTTGGACTGTTGTAATTATTGTACTGAACTAAACTTTGCATTAATCGTTGTTGAAAAGGATCTAATCAGTTAGTTTTTTTCCCTCATTTACACTGACGGAGGTAACGGCGCAGTGTGCGTGGCTCTGGTGTTAATCAGGTTTAATGTTTCTGTTTGCAACAATTTTCACAAGAGGGTAAAACAGTTAAATGACAGGATTCACAATGACCAGATATTTCCCGTATTTGATTGTTTATTTTGATGGAGAAATCTCAAGCCTGCAGATGTGCTGACATTTTAATCGTTATGCACATCGTGGAGGTAGCTACATCAATCAGGAAAAAATTCCCATCAGAACATCTGAGATGGATACTGAGCTCAGCGCAGCTCGCTGTCAGCGCATGCGTATGGTGGACAGCAAGCTGAAGATGTGTTGGAGTGTGTCGCAGAACCAGAACCATGCAGGAAGATTCTGTGTTTTCTAAACCCGGTCTCTCAGAGACTTGTCACTTAAAAAAAAATGTTCCCTGATTATGAATCTTTGGCTGAATTGCGCTTGTTCCTGTCTCCAACACTGCGAAACATCCATGGGCCCGTCTGAGGAACAGTCCAGAACCTCACATCCTCTTCAGCTCAGAAAGCGCCTATAGAATTATTTGATTATGCACAAACAGGTGGCCTGTTCAGGTTTACACAGACAATCTTTAAATGTAGAATTGGCTACAGATAAAAATGAATGCAGTAAAACAAAATATATCGTAATTAAATATTAATTAATTAGTTTACAAAAGCAGAGAGCCGCATCAGATGGATGAAAGAGCCGCATGCGGCTCCAGAGCCGCGGGTTGCTGACCCCTGTTCTATTGCAAGGTGCTGCGAGAGGCGGGTAAGTGTATGAGGAAATAAGGGGAAGATGGCAAAAGGGAAATTAGGTCGTTATGTTAGTATGTGGAGACTTGTTACGGATTTGGAAAAGAAGAAACAAGCACTGGCGGAGGCGCTGGGGCTGGAAGGACGAGCCAGAGAGACTGCTTTAGAGATGTCCGGAGGATCTTAAAGATGACGGTATGGAAACCTTGCTTACAAAATTGGACACCGTTTTCTTGAGAGAAGAAAAAGATCGAGCTCATGAAGCATATTCTCACTTCGACTCGATATCTAAAAGACAGTGCAATGCCAATGGCGGACGACATTATAGAGTTTGAACAAAGACACAACCGTATAAAAAGTATGACATGACTCCACCCTACGCAGTACTACCACTCAAGCTCATGGACACATCCTGTCTCGAGGAGGAGAACAGACGGCTGGCACTTACGGTGCTCGGATATGACATTTCCAACAAGGAAATCGGCACTGAATTGGATTTTTGGAGGAAAATCCATCGGGACGAGCATTGGCTGCGATTCTCAAAGTGCAGTTTTCTAAATGAAACAAAAGTCAACGAACAAGTTCAGACAGAGTAATGGACCACCATAGGGTGGAACACGACAGCCACAACGAGGTACAAACCCTCTAGATGGATACAGGAAGGTCACTAAATGCACTATCTGCCAAAGTCCATTGAGCTAAAGACTGTCCTCATCGGGAAATTTATGTAAATTGACAAAAGACAAAGATGTAGAAGAATGCAACATTACGTTGTTCACTAAAGAGGCAATAGCAGACTGAGATTGTTCTAAACGAAGCACGGGGATCAGCCTTACTGATACTGCATGCACAAGAACTGTTTGTGGTGAAAAGTGGCTGGAGAGTTACGTAAATGACCTGAGCGAAAACCAGATTCACAAGCTACTTAACAAAAAATCTCCAAACTGCAAGTCCTTCAGATTTGGAGATGGCTAAGTGGTTTTTTCCAACAGAAAAGTTAAGATTCCAGCTAAAATAGGCGAAACTAAATGTCACATTGAAAGTGAAGTTGTCCCAGTTGATATTCCCCTGCTTCTGAGCAAGATGTCACTAAAAAGAGCAGGTACAGTCCTGGACATGGAAAATGACTGTTACGCCTGCCAGGTTCCAGTTCCCTCTTGGACAGTTCTACCTTATCCTCTGAGTCCCTCCTGTGCTGTACTACACTTCTTCATCACGGACAGCAGCCAGCTTCCTCCCCTTCTTCCTATTACAGCCTCAAACCACCCCAGTTGTGGCCGATTTGCTGATGACAGGAACCAGGATTAAAAGCTGCAGCTGTCAGTGGTTCAGGGGCAACAGAACCTGTTTCTGTTTGTCCCCCATGATCATTGAGAGCTAACTATTTGACAGTGTGTCTTCAGAAAGAGACTGATTAACTGATAATAGAGATCGGTTTTGATAGAAGTAGTTTTAGTCCCCCTTTTGGTGAAACAGCTGATTGCAGCTGGGATTTAGGGAGGATGGAGACTTTAATTGATGGCTTTGCTTGGTAATTGTTATGGGTTGCAGTCATCTTTAGTAAATGGCTGTTTGCTTTGTCTCCTTTAATTTATATTAGTCAACTTCTTGGAAAAGCAGTCTCTTCCTGCTAAACCCTGTCCTTGTAATAAAACACATTTTATTCATAACTTCCAACCCCATGCCAGCGTTCTGTCACACTCACCATCTACAGGGGTTGTAACAATGACAAAGTTGTCATGTTCAAACACCAAGTGCCTCCTGAGCTAACTACTTCTGGACACTACTGTGTGGACATTAGAGATGATAATGATGCAAAAGTGAGCTACAATGGAAGTGATGTGCTAATGGTCACAGCAGAGATGTCACTGAAAGAAAAACACGAAGTCCTACTGAAGCTACACAAACAGTTTGGCCATGCATCTGCTGACCAGCTGCAAAGACTAATCCAAAGCTCTGGAAGAT